TCGAATAGTAACAGTTGTAAAACTAAATCGCTGTCGAAAATAACAGTTATGGGACAGGGAATCGATGCAGAATCGAAAAGTAACAGTTTGAAGCAGTTCTTTCCGGAACCGTTTCATTCCCTAGCGGATCCTCTCACGCGTGCAACCCGTTTCCTCCTCTGGCAACCGCCCATCCCTCGGATTATCATTTAGAGCGTAAGAAATTCGGAAGTAGCAGCACCGTCATCGACGTCGACGAATCGAACTACCGGGCTGATTCGATTACCGCGACGACGGGTAGCAAACGTTAGTGGCATCCGCCGACCGGCTCGCGTTTCCTGCACGCGATTTCCTTCCGACCTGCTACCCTTCTAATCTCGTTAGGCGGATTGTAATTACGGACAAAGTGGTCGACTTAAGGGAAATCGGATGGAAGAACGAGCGACGACCAGGATTTCTTCCCCTTGATCCGTCTTTCGCACCCGTGAACTCCTTCCGGGTGGGTCGTCCTACCGAACGACCCGGTCCACTGCGAACAGATGCACGGGTCGAGCGATATTGGCGCCAAATTTCATTTTATCAAGCACCGAATTTGCGGGCTGCTGCTGGAATTATGATCTTTATCGCGTGGAATGTGTGCAATGAACGTGGAACCTGATTTTCGGTTTATTCAATGCTAGGACTAGTAAATTTCTAATGATCAATGAACAATTACGGATTTCTTGTTTCGAAGTATCTTCGTTGTAACGGTTATCTATACGTGAGCGAGAATAATATTAACACTAGGTTTACGGAACGCGTTAACTTGACGCATGTTGCATTTTATAAACATCGTTCGGCAAACATTTACGTCGATTTCGATTGAGTTACACGAATATATATCCTAATTGTCTACTTTTGAACCACTAATTTCCAGAATCTCAATGAACGAATTTCAAGTTCATTTAGATCTTGGACATTGGAGGTTTAACCCTTTGCCACATATGAAGGTGAATTATACATCGAATGCTTAAAAAATAGAAAAAAGGAAACTATACATTGATCTCTTGTTATTCAAGTAATTAAGTCATTCGTTTGCAACTTAGTATTCCAAAGATGAGCATTTAATCTCGCTAAAATGTCGGCATTCGTCCACAAAGGGTTAATATGAAATGAATTTAGAGATGTTAATATGGCATGGAACATTCTCTTCATAACAAATATGCTTTAAACTGGTCATTTAAGATTTCTGGGAAATACTCGGACGAAATTTTAATGCGGCCGATTGAAAATCCGGATCATCGTTCTGTTCGTTTCAGGTAAACGGGAAAGACGTAGCCAACAAAGAGCAGACCGAGAACCTATTCGCTGAAACGAAGAATGCGGTGACCATCCTTGTCAGCCGGTGTCTCTACCAGGTGAGCTTTTCATACGAGCATCCGACTAGCCGTTAAGGTGAGATTATCTCGCCGCAGTTCAAACTAAATACACCACGAACCGTTTTCAGGACGACGAGTACGACGACAGGCGCACATACCGCCAGGTGAGTCACTCCTCTCTCGAAACTTCGATCTGTTATCCCTGTGGAGTAAAAGGTTAAACGTACAGTGTGTAACAAAAATGTGCGAGCAGTCGGGTTTCCAGTAGAAAAGCGATCGTGTGAAAGTAAATGCTTCATTTTACGCAACGGCATTAACGTTTGTTTGTACAATACAACGCGTGGGAAGAATAAAATATAGGCCACTCGACGATTGCATATTACAATTATAAGAAAATGCTGATTACTTTTCGAAATTGACCTTTCTTCTACTATAGCAATCGTTTTTCACGAATCAAAATCAACTATGTAATATCGAAGAGTATAAACAAAATCCTGTTTATATAAGAATTTATATAAACTGATCAGAAATTATGAAACTGAGGGGCAGGGAGGGAAACGATTTTCGATGAACCGCCGTATACTCGAAACACGGAAACCGAGGAACTTCCCCAAACAAATTAAAACACTTCGGTATCCTTTCTTCCCGGGGAACTTCAATCCTTCGTCTCTATCGCGGACCCTCCAGGAATCGCTCGAATCCTTCACCCTTATCAAGATCGTTTCCCTATTCCGAAACTTTGATTCTCAATCCCGAAGTCAGTCGTCCCCCGACAACGGGATTACCCGTGAGCTCTGTGTTCAGGAGTCGCCGCCGCTGTCCCCGGACCACCTACCCTCGTACCAGAATAGCTTGATCGAGCAGCTGATCCGGCAGCAGCAGCAACAGACCGACGAGCGAACCAAGGAGACGGAGGAAAACACGTCGACGCTGAAGGCGCCGCCACCGATACCCTCCCACACGGCCCAACAGCAGCAACAACAGCAGCAGCAACAGCAACAACCTCTGCCGCTGAACGTGTTCTCCACGACGACGTCGTCGTCGACGTGTTCGTCCCAAACCTCGCAGAAATCTAGCAGGAATGCGTCCTCGCCGGCGCACTTGCCGGAGGAGCGCAAGCAATGGATGCAGGACACCCTGAAAGATTGCACGAAGAAGATCGAAGGGTTGTGTGTGCGGGGACAACAGTCCACTCCTGTGAAGCTAACCGAGGCGTACGCGAGCCACGTCTGGAGCGAGACGGAACACATCTACGAGACCATACCGGAATCGGACAGCGAGCCGATCTACTCGTCCCCTTACGAACATCAGCATTGGACGCAGGCGAACCACGGCACAGCGACCACGTCGACGACCACCGCCACAACGACCACTCAACAGAACCAAGGGAACCAGACCAGGTGGCACTCCTCCTCGAAGAGCAACAGCTCCGGAGAGGAGAAGGACAGCTCCAGCGCGTACAACACCGGGGAGTCTTGCAACAGCAACCCCCTGACACTGGAACTTCACCAAGCCGAGAGGGACCATCATAGAAGCACGCTGGTCCTGTGCCCGCCGAAGACACCGACAATCTTGCAACAGCAACAGCAGCAGCAGCAGCAACAGCAGCAGCAGCAGCAACAACAACAACAACAACAACAACAACAACAACAACAACAACAGCAGCAGCAGCAGCAGCAACAGCAGCAGCAGCAGCAAAGACTCGGCTGCACCTGCCCCGCGTCTACCAACAAACAAACTGCTATCAAGACCCAGCAGAACAGAAGAGGATCCAGCTCGTCTCATCATTACAGAGACCGCGGGGATCCCACTGCCGCGGCGCTGCCTGCAGACACCATGTACACAAACATGGCGAACCTCCAGCAGACGATGCTCCTCCAGCAACAGCTGTTCAAGCAGGCGTTGAACCGGCGACACTTGACCGCTGCCGTTGGCCAGAAGGAGAATACCGCGACCGCGAAGAAGTCAAAGTCGCACGGGAACTTCCAGGCACCGAATCTCACGCGGTATCAGTTCGTCGGTAGCCAACAAGTCTGCACCTCGACCAGCTGGGTCCCGCCAGAGGATAAGGGCACGAATGACGTGCAGATGGAGTGGAAGGTGAAGAGACGGGCTGACGGGACCAGATACATCGCGAGAAGGCCCGTCAGGAATCGGATCCTGAGGAACCGCGCGATCAAGATATCCGAGGAACGAGCCGGACACAGTACGGAAGACGACACCATGTCCGAGATAAAGGTAACGGTCTCGAGTTCCTCTTCGCGTAACCGCTTGCTCGACCGCGGCACACGTGCTTTTGGCTCCGATTGTTCTTCGCGGACCGCCGCGAAGTCGGTTTCAGCTTGCGTTCGTATTACAGCTTGATATACGATAGAGCAGTGATTCTCAATGCGACATCGTCGCTTGGAAGGTATTCCCGATGTTTAGGGTACGTCAAATGTCAACAGAGAAATTAGGGGACATTACAGCCCAAAACGATGGTAGCTAAATGGTTTTATAGGTATCTCTAGAACTCTTCTTTTCTCATTTTATTTTATTTTTATTCTATTTCTCACTTTTACATATGGGAAAGCTTTGGGAAAAATAGATTCTATCGTTAGCGGAAAGGTATGAATTACAGAATTTCGGTAAATTTCGAAAATTAAGGAAATTCTAGTGAATTTGGTTAGTTTAATATTCGCTGTCTAGATAATCCGTTTTTCTGGTTACAGGTGGGAAGGTACTGGACCAAGGAGGAACGCAAGAGGCAGTTGGAGCGTGCCCGCGAGCGCAAGCAAAGGCAGCAAGAGCTGATGTTGCAGCAGCAGCAACAACAACAGCTACAGTTGCAGCAGACCAACGAGCTGCTGAATTGCGAGCACGGAGACGAGAAAACGAAGAAGTCCTTGAACATTCTGGAGCTGAGTCACAAGAAGATGGCCCGAAAGAAGAATACCTTAGATGACTTCACGACCGTGCAAGAAATGCTGGTCCACGGGAACAGAGTGGGCGGAGCCGGTGGGCCGGGTGCTGGAGGGAAGCTGATGGGTTTGCTCTCGGTAACTACGGTCTGAGCGAAGACACCGGAAGATCCGATCAAAATCCAAGACGCGTTTCCTCCTTCGTGGAACAATCTCGTCAGAGTCCAAAAAGATCTTGACGATTGTCAGTTGTTCGTCAACATTCGTCGAAGTCGTTTCTTCAGCTATCTGGACCGTATGAACTTTCTCTTCCGGGTCTTGTGCTCGGCATTGCTTCGAGGATGAAGCTGAACGAGATCGTTGGAAAATAATTGCAACCTATCCCGAACGATTGTAAATAGTTATTATATAATGACATGTATACATATGAATGTATGTAGATTATTTTACACGAGCCGAATCCTTTTCTGTGAACGATGAATAGAACGAGAGTACGCCTCTGTAGATATGTACAATAAATGTAACGATGTATAATCTCTGTGTAAATAGATCGGGATATCACGGCTTCTCGTTTCACTTCCTACGGACGATCCCAGACGCTAACTACGTAAGATATCACGTTTTAATCGTTGCACGCAATTGTCCCTAGAGTTATATCGACGACGAGTTGATTCTTCAAGGTTGTTGAAGGTTTTTCATGTATACGGGAAAAGTAATAAGTTTAGATGTCTAGTAGGAAATTCCGCGGTACTGAGTAAGATTCAAGTGACAGTTTTCTTCCAGCACTTCGGGATCTTTTCTGCGTTCTCCGCTTAATTCGTAGCTTCTCGTGATACTGATCAATAACATTAGAATCGTTCTGAATACCGCAAATCTAAAATTCATTAAGGAAAACAGGTAATCATACTTGTCTAGAAAAGTATTTCTACCGTTACTTCATCGTCATCGTTGGATTCCTAATACCTCAAACATATTCACCTATTACTTAAGACTTTTGCCTGCTAGTTGTTGTAAAATAAATATTCAATTGTTACTAACGTTCGACTTCTGATTCGTTGGACAGTTCTCTAATGATCCGTTTGAATTCATTGATAAAACTTTGATTCGGTATTTTATTATTAATCCTCACTCCCGCCTCGTTCTCTGCACACGACTTCGAATTTTAATTAAGACCCCGTCGATTCATAGAATCGGTATTTTATAACGGCCGTTATATATTCATGCAATATATCGGCTAGTTCCCCCCAATGTAACAGACGTTGATGCAGCTGTTCAGTGCACGAGTAATACATTTCAATCTACGAACCTAAAAAAATAAATCCACCTGTGGATTCAGAAGCTCCACATCTATTTGCAGTATGAACTGTAACTTGTCAGCGTTGGTATGACGAAAAGTAACTTTGTCGCTGCGTGACGAACAGGTAAGTGTGTATCGCCGAAAATTTTTAAAATTAAATCTATGAACTTTATGGAAACTTCATGAGGACAAAATGTCCTCAATCTCCTTTGAATCTACGGGTTTGGAGGAGGTGTCCAGGAGCTCATAGGAGCCTTAAGATCTCAGGTCTGAGACTTGTTGGACTAGGAATCTCATCAAGATTTCTGATATCTTCTATGGGTAGAAGATAGTCCTGGGGTTGTTAAGAATAACTTCAGAATCTCCAGCAAGACACATTCACTAATTAAAGTTAGAAGTTGATTTGAATATATTTTTTGGTACACATAAAGTACAATACAAATACAGTATAAATGAATAGTAAAAATGTACAGAAATATAGATTCTGTGTATAAATAAATGTAGTACCTACAATCATACTACAAGAAAGCACAGTAAAGTAATTTGATATTTCTAAATCTTTCTTCGAGCTTATGATCTACTATTATTTTTTAGAACGAAGAAACCATAGTAGGATGGAAATGTAACATGTATTAAATCGTTGAAGAATACTAAAATAACATTAATGTTGTTCTTTAACACACTTATAATTGACATGTTTTCGTTACATTAAAAGAAGTATATGATTTACTGGATTTAATATATACTAGAATTATTGTACAAAGAATTCTTCATTTAGTATTTAAAGACTGTTGTTTAACAGATTTGCTTACATTCAACAACAGATTACCCTTACATTCAACAACATTCAATATTCTCTCCTTCGTGAACTGTGTGATAAATCATTAAGCAACATATATAAAATTTTGTCTGTGTTTAACAATAAACCGGCATAAATAACTGCACGTTCATTGCTGTCAAGCTTAAGTTACATGTATACAATCACTGGGAATGTTCTCAAAATATATCTTAATGTTTGGACACATTATCATTCATTGCAACATTTCATTAAATTCTTACAGTTTTGTAATTGTAAAACGTGAATATACAAGCAAAATGAATCTTAAATTTAAGTTTGGCATCAATAGATTTGTGTAATCTGTATGCTATAAATAATTTAGCTTTAGCACAGGCAGAAGTGAAAGCAATGAATTGAGAAGTGCCTTATATTTTAAGATTGAATACCATGCCCAAAAATTGTTCATAATGAATTGTAATTACACCATCTAAATCTGTGTCCAATTGTCTAAAGGCAGAGGTTAAAGTCTGAAAAAAGATGTAAACCAGAAATGTACATTTTTCTACATATGGGAAACACTTCTGAATACATAAATAGTATTATATAATGTCATACTTACATATAAAACTACACAACATTGAATGAAATCATCAAAATATATAGTTCCACGACCAGCTCTATCATATTTACGTATGAGGGTGTCTATAATATGTTCCGACAACCGGTATCCAAAATTTGTAAGTGCTGTTTTTAGTTCATTTCTATCAATATTTCCACTGTTATCTCGATCAAATGACCGAAAACAATTCTGCCAATCTGTTACGTACTTCCATAAAGCTCCAAATTCCTCAAAACTAACTGTTCCTGTTTGATTTTTATCAAACATACCTGGAGAAGCAGGATCATTTTTGTCAATGTCAAACATACCTGCACCAATAAAATTGAGTAAAAATGTATTAACAACAATAAAGGACCATGCAAATTTATTTCAAAGTTACATACTTGTTTCCTTGTGCACTTACTAAATCTACAATGCTAAATTTATTACTACGTAATACACTAGCATGTGTTTTCAAAGATTATATTAATTTACATGGTCATTTACAAATGTATAAGAAACAAATATTTACCAATCATTAAACGAACAGTTTCTGGATTAAATGGTGTCCATGTACCATTAGACAAAGCTTGCTGTAATTCGTCTGCAGTAATTGCGCCAGATCTATCTTTATCGACTCTTTAATCAATCAATAAAATAGATAATTATATTATCATTCTTAAAATTCTTAATGTCTCAATGAAACTGCTTTTATAATATGTAAATTGGTTGATAAAAAGTATAAATATATCAACACTTATTATCAGAGTTTACATTATCACACATGATTAATGAATGAATATGCAAAATATAACGAAAATAATTTTACTTGTAACTTCTTTGTACTATTAATAGGTGAAATAAATATGTGTATAATTTTCATTTTTATTAAATAATGCATAAAAATCTATATTTGCGTAATGCCTACAGTCTAATCGTGATGAATTAATATGCAATTAACTGTAATCTACAGAATTAAGTACGTCATAGTAATTAGTTTGTTAAAAATACTAAAATTAGTACAGTACACTCATGTCTATATGTGAGTAAATACACAAAAATAAAATAAATTTTAAATTACCTTTGAAAAACATCCCAAAGAAATTGTTGACTGGGCATAGGGGAGACGAAAGACATTTTTCAATTAACGTTTACTACACGAAATATTTGATCAATAACGATTATTATACCGTTAGTTTGGTTGAAGCAATATTATTTCACAACTGAATGATTAGAATTACTGTATGATCAAACAATTTGAAAAAATTTGCAAGTTAGCAACAACGTCACAAACTCGTCACTGTTTCGCAAAATATGACGTGTTACTAAATTCTTATTCCTAACTATACGTACACATATATATAGTATAGAACTAGTTTATTTTGGCAGTGGACGAAGAAGTCACTAGAAGCGCAGACATTAAATCTGTGCTAACGTTTGAGCATTTTATCCTAGATAGCGCTGACTCGGCAGAGAATCTAGCATATTCTTGTCGATACGGTAGAAAAATTCTTAATCTTCTTTATTGATTTTATTGTATTTACCGATTACTATATTTTCTGTTGCTAAGGTCGTCAATGCATAATATGTTTTCAATTGTTATAAACAAACTGTTTATCTTTTCTCTATAAAAGTAATAATAAATATTTTACAAAGACAAAAATTCCTATAACATGCAACACTTGTACGTATCTTAAGTCTGTGCTAGAACTATATTTCGCACTCTAATAAACACAATAACCTGATTTTGAATAACGGAATTTATTACATTTTAGGATATTATCAAAATAATTTTGACAGATTATACAATTTAATATATAGAAAAGAATTAATACTCAAAGTAGAGGCTAATATATTTTATGAAAGTAAATTAGTATAACCTAAACAGTATTGATATGAAATTTAAAAAAGGGGCTACTTCAGACCCTATACTTTTAATCTGATTACTAAACACAATTAAAACTACATACGAGTTCCTTAGGAAGGAAATACATTTTATTAGTTTTATTAGTATATTATTTATATGTTAATAATGATATCAAACTTTTAGTTTGTATAATTAAAATATTACAAAAAAATTATATTTTATACATTTTTTGTAATTCTGTGTAAACTTATGTTTGTTTAGGTCTTTTTATTTTCCATGCTCCAATTCTATATTTGTACCAAATAAAAAATAAATCTTGACCCATCTGTAACCAACTCCAGAATGGTACAATCTTGGAACCTTCTATTTCTGTCCAATCTACAGAAACCTCGGTAATAGGAATGTTAAAGTATTGTGCAATATACAACATTTCTACATCAAATGCCCAACGTTCAACATGTAGAGCTTGGAATATAAGTCTAGCAGAATGTCGTGTTAATAGTTTGAAGCCACACTGTGTGTCTCTAATACCTCTTACTCCCCAAAACCATACCAGAAAATGAAAGCCATGCATTAAACATAACCGGAAGAAAGTTCTTTTGGCAATTTCTTCTTTTTCTAAATGTGCTCTGGATCCACAGATTATGGCTTTGGATGAAGTGACTTCATCTGGTTTATTCATGTAGTCAACTAAAATTGACAATCTTATATTAAAAATATTTTATATAATGCTAACTTGTAATTACAATTTAGATTATAACTTACATCCTAAAACAGATCTTAAACTATTATCTAACTTTTCTAAGTCTCTAAATTTAGTTGCTCCATCAGCATCTGCAAACAATATTGCACTGCCCCTTGCACTTAAGATACCCTTAAAAGAAAATTTATGAATGAAAAACAGATAATAGTACTTAGATACAAAGTCTACAAAATTCATATAATATTACTAACAAGTCTTACTGCACCACCTTTTCCTCTATTTTGAACAAGATCTAATACTCTAATGCTATCATATTTTAATGCATATGTGTGAGCAATTTCCACAGTCTTATCAGTGCTTCCATCACTAATTATAATTATTTCATAAGTATATCCATGTTTCAAACGTTCCTCTAAATATTCCAAACATTCGTCCAACATCAATGGCACTATGAAGAAAAGTAACATTACATTAAATCTCTATAACATTATAATTGAAACAATCATATTTACATCTTTTCTGTTCATTGTATGCGGGTACTATGACACTCAAATGTACACTCCAATTGTCAAATAATGATGGGAACGGTTCAGTTGTTTTTGTCTTAGGATTAAAAAATTTCTTCTCTTTCTCATCTCGCCATATTTTGGGATATGGTTCCGTTATTATGTATAATATTATAGAAAACTGAAATAAATAATGTTCGATCAATTATTATTTTTAAAATATTGTCATAACTATACAAAATTATCTGCTGAAACATTATGTATGAACTATTTAAAAGTGCCACGTTTCTATAAATTCAAATGATATATTTACAGACAATAATATAACCTTCAGACGTACCAAACTTAAACATATCACTCCAAATATGAAAGCGGAAAGAAGTAAATATTCCAGGGATAACATTCTACTGTTAATAAAGTTTTAAATATTATTAAAATACACTTTATATTGCACTTTTAACATTTCCTTTCTTGCGCCGCTACTCATATCTCCTTGTGTGTCGGTTCATTTATACGTGTTCGCGGTAGGTGATATGCAAATGTAAACAGTTATCTTCTCGGTATAAGACCGCTTTAAAGAACTGTCAGCAAGCTTATAGCGAATAATATGCTTTTTACGTTTATATATCAATTGAGTATTACACTTTGATTCAATCGTGTAATTGTAGAAGCTATCCTACTTCATCGCTGTCGAAACGTGAACCTATGAAAGAAAATTAAACAAACAATTTGTAATTAAACATTTATTGAAACCAAGTTGTATTTTCTGTTACATTTTCCTGAGACGATATTTTATATTAACAATTCTAAGTTCATAACCCGCATAAAAAAATATTACCGAACAGGACGTCTATACGATTTGAAAATTAGTGTAAACGTTATCTCGCAGGTGACAGCGCTAGATGACCATAAGTACTCATAAAGATGGCAGTCAATCCTCTGCATTTGTAGATTTAGTTTATCCACCGTCTTTTGCATTTACAGAATGATCTCTTGATTCGAAAAACATTTCTTATATTCAATTCATTAATTCAAACGCTACTGATTACGGCGTAAGAAATGTCACTAGCTGGTGTTACTTTCTAGTAATAAAGAGGTTGGAATGTGTACGAATAGGGAGAAAAAGAATGGTCTCTCGCAATCATCGGTCGGGGAGTCTCGAATCGGTCCGTAGGCGTCATCATGGTGTGTGGGCCGGAGCGTTTTTGAGAGTCGACGAGCTTGTTTTGAACCGATAAGAAGCGTAGGCATTTTCGTTATTACGGTGATGGTTTCGCGGGAGAATGCGTGCTCGTCCTACGGAATCGCTATGGGGAAAATCGTCGCCGATACGCGACGAGCAATCGCGAAATAAGTATTAAAAACGAAATGATACAAGGAGCGCGTACGATGTCGCGCTCGGAACAAGCTTTTATTGTACGTCGTCTCGTGTGGAAGTGTGACTGGACCACCGTTTTGTTATCGATATTATGTGTGATCCCGTCGAACCCTACGAGTGCCGAATTATATGGTGGCAAGGATAATCAGTGTCCTGTAGAGTGTGCATGCCTCGGGAATGTGGTCGACTGCAGCAGCTTACAATTGATCGGAGCACCCAGCGGTCTACCACCATGGACAGAAATCTTGTGAGTAAATAGCTGCTCGTTATTTCATCAAGAATATAATTCCGGAGGGTGCCACTCCGTCTGTAATGGATCATTCTAGTCGAATCATTTTCTAAAATTTGTCCTCTGTGTAGGAATGCTCGTTAGAATTTTGTAAAAGTTTTTCGACTGTTTGTTTTTTTCTACTTCTTTCCTTTTGATCGCATTACATCAATCCGTTACACACAACGGATCGTTGAGATTTAAATTTTAACGCTACGCATATTCACTGTAACACGATCTAATGTAGATAAGATAGTATATAGGAATATGTAACTGAAACACTGTGTCAATATTCATATGATAACATTATACGTTTTACTTAGCAGAAAAAGAGTGATATTCTTTGTAACTGTTGGTTTATTAGTTTTTTTCGGTTATTCATTTAGATTTGAGAGTGTATTGAAAATTTCTTATTATATTGTTAAATATTAAGAGAATGAGCTTTTTATTTAATTTTGATTGGAGTATTTTTTATACGATGGACAATATTTATGGTATAATATTTTTTATTTGATAAACAGTATTTATACCTATATAATCTTCTCATATTCATGTGTTGCACTTTCTTTAATTTATTAATTATTAATGAACTCAAAGAAATTTAACTATAGAGGTATATAGAAAGTTGTACTTTTGTTCCTTACATGGTTAAAGGAAAATGGTAATCGTGTACTTAAATGTACATTAAAAGGAATTCTTGACCGTATAAGGGAATATGTATAGGGACATAGTATTGTTGCTTTATACAGCTTAGAGTCAAGGAGAGCAAGATCTAGATGAAGAGAACCATGCCTTTAGAGGTTTGAGGCAACATGTAACTACTAGGTGCTGGTAATTCTGTTTAGTAAACTGTACAAAATATCACATACTACATTTTTCATGTAAGAAGAAAGTTTAAGTTTAAAAACATTTATTATAGACCAGAAAAAGAATAATAATAAAAATAAACAATATTTATATTGATATATATTTCTTATATTTTCAGGGAATTGAAGGAGAACAATATTACTAGTTTAGAATTGGATGCACTGATACATTTAACTAAGCTCAAAGAATTGTAAGTATTTACTAACACTTATAGTTAAATATAAGTTAAATTGTAATTCATTTCAAAACTGTTGAAATTGTTTTTTAACTCTTTTTATAGGGACCTCAGCACAAATAAGTTTGGAGATAATTTTACAATTACATTATCGGAAAATACACAATTACAAGGACTTAAAATAAATAGGAATCGACTAACACAAGTGCCAGATTTATTTTTCGTTAAAACTTTAACACATCTTGCCTTGTAAGAAAACTACTGTTCACACTTTTTCCATAACAGTACAATTAGCTTCTTATTTCAAAAGTGATAATTTGTTTTCAGAGCTCATAACTTAATTAGTGATATAAATGGAACTGCGTTACTGAGTTTACAGCAGTTACAGAGCTTGGATCTCAGTGGAAATAAAATAAGTGTCAGTAAATATGGTTCCTTCCGTGCTCCAAATTGCCTTACACATTTGTATGTATTTTTTAATTTAAAAAAAAAGTTATTATTTTGTAATGTTAGTATATTTTTCAAGTTAATCATAAAATTATGAATCTACTTTACAGAAATTTAAATATGAATCAACTGAGGATGATTGAAAATGGAAGTTTAGATAATTTGACTTCTTTAGAAGAATTACGTTTGAATAAAAATCATTTGACACAATTGAAAGATCTATTTACAAATCTGAAAACACTGAGAATACTGTAAGACATTATCTTTATTGTCTTAACTGCAAAAAGATATTCTATTCAAGTTGATAAACATACAAATGACAAATTTTCTAATTTTACAGTGAATTAAATCGAAACGAGCTACAAACAATTCAAGGGCTTAGCTTTAAAGGTTTAAATAGTCTGAAAGAATTACGCTTAAAGAGAAACAAAATAGACACGCTAGAAGATGGCGCATTCTGGCCATTAAAAAATTTAACGATGCTGCAACTTGATTTCAATTTTCTAACTACCGTTAGAAAAGGTAGCATGTTTGGATTAGAACATTTACAAACATTAACACTCTCACACAACCGAATAAGAACGATCGAAACGCAAGCTTGGGATTTAAGCAAGGAAATCGTAGAATTGTCAGTTACATTTCTATTTTTCATAGTACTGTGATAAGAATAGCGTAAATACAATTTAAAATCTATTTGCAGAGATCTGTCATACAATGAAATATCTTCGATCGAACAAGGCACGTTCGAGTCTCTGGAAAAATTGGAGAAACTTAAAATGGACCATAATCAAATTACAGTAATTTCAGATGGTGCATTCAGTTCCACGCCCAACTTACAAATTCTGTAAGGGCCCGCAGAAATAATTTAATTGCATAAAAATTGGTCAGTTTCTAATAATAGTCATTTCTATTGAAGGGAACTCAATTTTAATAATATATCCTATGTGGTGGAAGATACTAACAGTGCTTTTGGTCCCTTGGGACAGTTGTGGAAACTGGGACTAGCACATAATGGAATAAAGTCAATAAATAAGAAAGCGTTTACCGGATTAAGTGGCGTAACTGAATTAGATTTAACAGGAAATGATGTTACAAACATTCAAGAAAATGCTTTTATTAATATGACCAGTTTAAAAAAACTCAGAATGAATTCAAGTACGTATCGAAACTAAATTGTGTGATTGAATACAGATATTTGGCACTTACTTTTTATCATTGTACATAGGAGCCTTAGTTTGCGATTGCGGTTTACAGTGGTTAAGTATGTGGTTACGAGATCACAGATATAGTGACGCAGAAGTGTACTGTGGATATCCTGATTGGTTGCAGGGTATGTCGTTAATGCAACTCCATCATAAAAATTTTACATGCGGTTAGTATATCTATTGTACGTTATTTTCTTCTTATCATAGAGAAAATTAATGAGGCTTTCTTAAACATAATATATACATCAACGCAAAAGAGTCTCTTTTAAATAATTTGATAATAGTAATTTGTTAAATCGCTTTGATGACTAAATTATCATAATATGATATCTTCTACTTGAACAGACGAGTATCCTAAACCAAGAATAATCGAAGAGCCCAAGAGTCATATAGGCATTAAGGGAGATAATGTGACGTTGACTTGTCGAGCTACAAGTACTGCCAATGCGCCTTTGCATTTCACTTGGAAACGTGACAATTTCAAACTGGAAAGTGGCAATATAAAAATAAACGTAAGCAGTGGTGTAACAGAGGCATCTTCCACTTTACACTTAACAAACGTTACACACGCAGACGCTGGGAAATATCAGTGCATAGTTACAAACACGTATGGGACAACTTACTCCGCGAAAGCGAAACTAAGCATTTTAAGTGAGTTTTCCGTGAATGCGTATTATACGTATAACAATTCTTGTGGTTGATCAAATTTTCATTGAGACTAAAATGTATGTGTGTCTGACTTCAACAGTTTATCCGTCGTTTTCAAAAATTCCACATGACATCCGCGTAACCGCTGGAAGCACTGCTCGGCTTGTGTGTTCTGCGGAAGGACAGCCGTCACCGCAGATAGCTTGGCAAAAAGATGGAGGAAATGACTTTCCAGCGGCAAGAGAGAGAAGAATGCACATGATGGCAAACGATGATGTATTATTCATCGTTGATGTGAAAACGGCTGATAGCGGTGTTTATTCTTGCACCGCACAAAATCTGGCTGGTGTTATTGTCGCAAATGCTACACTCACTATATTAGGTAATCATCATTGAGTTCTTGTCTCATTAGAAAGTAAAGGAAAATATATGAAAAGGAATTGCATTGATTAATAATATAAGAAATCAATTTAAACGTAAACAGACAGATATAGTGAAATTGCGGAGTACTTAATTGAAAAAATTAACTTTTCTGTTCTTTCATAGAAACTCCGTCATTCGTTAAACCGATGGAAAACAAGGAAATAATGGTCGGTGGTTCAATCGTATTGGAATGCATGGCGAGCGGCATGCCCAGGCCAAAGCTGTCCTGGCGTAAAAACGGGAATCCGTTGCAGGCTACCGAGCGTCACTTCTTTACCGCGGAAGATCAGTTACTGATTATCGTCAATACTATAACTAGTGATGCTGGGAACTACGAGTGTGAAATGAGCAATTCGTTAGGTAGCGTTGTCGGTGCCTCCCATCTGACAGTGAAACCCGGTAAGTTGTGATAATTCGGACCAAAATTGCAGTGAAATTTACAGCCACTAATATACCATTTGACATTTTAGCTCCTACTTCTAGTCCCGCCGCAGTAAATGAAGATGATATACTGGGTTTAATAATAATCACGGTGGTGTGTTGCGCCGTTGGTACGTCTATTGTATGGGTAGTTATAATTTACCAAACCAGGCGACGTCTAAATGCTGTCGCACAAGGTGGAAATGTGCAACCGCCAACAGCTGTGGTGACTACTGCAGTACCGGACACACAGACACATTTATACTTGGAAACGAGCTCGCAGCACAGCAAAGACAGCGGTATGGGAGACAGTACCAATCCTAGTAGCGATCAGTTACAATTGTGTTTGCCTGGTATGTATGAATATGTTGGAAATTTTATTCCAGTTTAAGATCTTTATGAAAGAACTACGCTTCTTAAAGATTATGGGATAAGTGCTATATGGTTGAACATAGTTCTTTTACTAATAACCATTCACATCTTCCAATCCCTTCCCAAAACTCTCCAGAAATAATGTTTATCCTTAAGTATAACTAGCGTTGTATCTAACTTTTATTATGTTAAATACCTTTATGTCACTTGACCATTTCAAAACTGCATGCGGACTGAGATCCTACTTTAAATCCTCTGAAGGCAAATCAGCACTGTTCATTATTCACATTTGATTCTACTTTCATGTTCTACTTATTCTTGTATTTGAATGACCCTGAAGTATCGGAACATGGGATTAAAACGCATTGGCATTAACAAATATTTTATTGACATTGTTCATTTTGTCTGTTTCTTTGTACAATGTACGTTGTAAATATTATATATGGAATTTACCTTTTAGAGGAAGTCGTGACGTGTGCCACGCATAATGAAGAAGAAGCGGGAGCAGTGAATAGTGGCGCTCCGTTGTTACGATACACAAACCATGAACGGCATGATCCCGAGAACGATGACTGCGCGGTGTAAATGCAGCGATCTCGGGTACGCGAAACCATCTCTCGAGTTTCTTGCACGAGTGACGTGACTTATTTTATAGCGTTCGGACAAAGAATAATTTTTCGAACGATTGTGGCGACCGGTCAGGATATCAAAGGGTAGACATGGTAGACATTCGTCCCGCAAGTTTGGATGGAGATACATCGTCTACGATCAAATAATTTCCCGATCATTGCGTAATATAGTATTTATTACCATACTTACCATTCATTAATTGTATCGCATACCGCACGAATATCGGTAAGTACAAGTGATAAGAGAGAAAGGCACGTGTCATTGTCGTATTTATTATCGAAACGAATGTCGAGAGTGCGCAAGCGTAAATATGAAAGTACTGTTTGCTTATCAAGCACAGCTAATAGAATTAGTATATATACACTTAAACAAGAAACGGAGGATTGGCTTCCTCCGTTTGTACATATTTTTCACAAAATATAGGCCTGGATGTTATCTCAGGATCGTGGCCATCAGTTGTATAGCGGGTTAATCCATCAGCTATAATCAAACAAATGATTCTTAAAATATTTCCCGTTAACATTTTGATACTGTCTTGTTCTGAGTTTGACATTTTACTATCAGTTGTGCTTGGTAGAGCAATATATTGCGGATAAGTTGTAAATACTTAGAATAAGGATTCGTCGTAATTCGTTGATTCAAAGAACAAAAGCAACCGAATACGAAATGACAAACAGAATTAAGTCTTACGCTGCATGAGCCACTTATTGTTATAGACCAGTCTTTTGTGATAGATATTTATTTTAGGTTTATGTGAAGCTATTAGACGGTTATATTTATAATGCCCAACGATGTGTATTTGTTTACAGAAAAAGAGAAAAATAGGAAGGAAAACGAAGTAACAAAAAAAGAGAAATACATACACACACGCCTCTACGCACACTAAATATTATTATACATTTTTATCGAACACGTAAATATATACGCATATGTGTATATACGGACCTGTATGTACATTCATTTGCACCAAAGTGCTCATAGTACACGCGTCGCGATTTGTCTTCCCCATTATTTTTTACGTGTAGCCGGATCATTAATGCCATTTCAGACAAGTGGGCCGGAGTAGTTTTCATTCGTGGTAGATGATTGCTTATTTTTACCGGTAGCTGCCGATCTCTAAATTCGAGTAAATGTCTAATTATTATCAGCTTTCATCGACGACTTTACCTTTAGTATTACTTTTGCTACACTTTTCTAAGTAGTTGATGATTGAAAATCTAATACAAAAACCTCAGAAACGTAATCATGGGCTGGTGGTTTTGAGACGAAATAGCTAATAGTAAATGGTACTATTTTACCTATCCAAAATTCAAATAACTCATACTTGACAATATTTTAATAGACGGCATTAATGATCATAATTATCATTGTGAGACAAAGCCTCATCTTCGAATCTATCGCAGCGTGCGAGAGACCCGCAGACTATTAGTTATCGATACGGTAATCTGTAAGGATATAAGAGTCATATATAAAATGATACAAAGGTGTAGTAAGAAGGCGTACATGGCGAGTCATAAGGATTTTTAAAAGTGAAAGGACAAGTCACCACATAAACTCTTACAGATGAGATAACTGCTCGAATTTCATCATTATTAGGATGGAAACAATGTTCTTTTGACTTCGGTATTTCAAATGCATCTACATCTTTCAGTTTCAGTTTAAGCGTTCCATTGAGAGGATCAACAGAGTTTCTCTTCAATTTCTCCACAAGAGTCAATTGCTGAGCTCGGTCCATTACGTTAATAAAAATCTCTAATAATGCTGCAAAAGATTAATTAAAAGTTTCCCGATAGATAAAGAGAAGCTCTGTTTTTAAACAAATATATGTGTAGCTTGTCCTCAAAGTTTCTTTAAGTATGTTACTCCCGTTTTTTCATGAGAAAAATAGCGTATCGATACTTCGGTTGCTTCGTGACCGTTCTTCGCAAGACGCTTTATCGTTTGAGAACGAACAGTGTACAGTAACGCTTCGAAAAATTGAAATTCCAGCGTTCTATCGAGCAATGAAGAATCACCAACCATTCTGTAATTCAGAAAACAGCTGAACCGCTAATTCGGAATTTCTCTAATGTTTCAAAATGTTATTATATACTGTGATTTAGTGTTTTTTTTATCGTTCGGGATAACATACATACCATCTAACTTGAAACGGTGCACATCACTTACATCGAGACACGCCTTTGTAAATGTGTGAAGTTTCATGTCCTAACGTTATCCGACCATGAGGCAGCAGACAAACGTAGAAATGTAGAGAATAAGGACAATTTAAAAATGCATTTTGATGGAAATGGAATTCTCGTGTCACCATAGTGTGTCCGTAATTTCCCCGCGAACTTATAATTACGGCAGATACGGTGTTTTGTCAGTGTATGTACGAGTAGTGTGTGTAACGAAGTTACACTTAATGATTAAGCGAGTGAGCGTTAGATTGCCGATCGCGGTATTGTAAGACTTTCTTTCTGTAACGGATATTATTTCTGTGACTTTCGAATTAATTTGTGATATTTTTCTTTTGTCCCGTGTATAGAGACGAGAACATGTGCCGCGGAAAGCATTGAACGGGGAAGCACAAATCTTCGAGCCTGAGAACGTTTCACGCTCGATAAATAGCGTAACTAGAGACTCGGATTCATTGAACATTGTCACGTCTTCATCGAGAAATATTAAGCGACGTTAATAAGGAAAAAGAGTACACTTTACGTATGTTGTTTGTTCAATTTAATATTAGAGCAAAGGACACCGGGACGAGGGCGTATCTGATCACGTGACAAGTTTCATTGGTTCTCCTTTATCAAGCAGAACTATTAACTGCCAGCGATTTTTATCTTAAAATAATGATCTTACGATGAAACGTAACAGAAATTTTGATATTTCCACTGGTTTAGAATTTAAATAGAAATCAAGCCTTAAAGAGATTAAGGGTATTAAGAACTGTATCCGCTCTGATCGTAAATTGAATAACCAATATATATAATATATATATATTTTTCTAGGCCTTGTATTTTGAGAATTCCATAAAGGCGATGCGAAATGTAACAAATGTTGCCGTTTTCGATCGCAGTTTTCAACTTTCTTCCCATACTCGATTAACACGTTGACACCGGAATTAATCAGGTTGTCCGATTCAAATGAACCGTAATATTTCAATTATTTAGGCGTAACATAAATTAAGTATCATAATTAAACCTCGGAAAGATAAATGTATAAAGTATGACAAAACGTATCAATAATTTCATGTAATACTTTACCATTGTATACTTTGCACCGCGATGATTTTTCCATTAAGAGTCGCGAAGTAAAAGAGGAATACAAAAATGCGACTGTAAGCGCGTCGAATGTTGTTTAAAACAAGTCGGAAATTCGTTGAGAAATCATTATGCCTTGAACTTTAATAGGTTCAACGACATTTTTTCTCGGCGATTATTCAGTGATGCGTCTGGTCACTTAATCCGTAATCGCAATTCTTGTGATTAGACCTCGCGTACAAATACATATATCCATCCTTGAAGGGTATCGGCGCGTTGTCCCGTACCAGGAAACAATATAGCGATATCGCGAGACGAGAATCACGAGATTAACGAAACGAAGGACTAGCGAAACATAAATGCGTTCGTCGAGTGACGAAAAACTTTCGAATGCGTGTGGAAGATCGCGTAACGACTTACCAATGACAAGTATTAAATCATATTGCCAATAAATAGAGGATCTATCGCGAAAACGTTGATCAGCTCGTGCCCGTGTGATACACCAAATAAGGTATCCCCGTTTAATTCAGTATTTTTCCTTGTTGTTACATGATATTGTAAACAAATATAAATAATCATTCAACCGGA